GAGTTGTAGGTAGAGAGAATAAAACGAGAAACCTTCTTAAATGATTAAAAGACAGAAGTCTTAAATGTAATGTAAATGTATATTCAAACGGATTCACTCCACAGTTGATGTATAGTGTCCAGTGTTGGTATGCTGCAAAAGCATCAAAAATGATTCCTTTCCTGAATTAAAATTTGCCATCTTAGAAGTTACATCTGCATGAAAATTAAAAAATTGGCTTTCCTAACCTGCAGGTTGTATTGTATTGCTAGGATAATGCTGCCATTTATTTTAAAGTAATATAGTGAGGCACTACTTTTATTGATAAGGAAATGCAATGTAAAATGATGTTTGATGATTATAAATAGGATTATTGTTTTATAGTCAGTTACAGAACAAAATACCCAGATCTCTGTCTTTGAAACTTCCAAAATTACAATCTACAAAGGAATTTGATTTGTTATTGAGTAAAAATATTTTACTTAAAAATTCAATTGGTTTTGACCCCGGTGGGAGGGGGTGGGGGAGAGTGTCCATTACGCTTCTAAGATCTCCTTCCCGGCGAAATTTTCTATCTCAAAAAATCAAGGACATCCCTGAAAACTGCAGACAGCAGCCGGTGCATTATCCTCAAGCTGGTGAAGAGGGTGAATTTTCTCCCTAAACATCCCTTCTGCTCTCTAGTTTGAATTATCAATGGAACGGCTTACCTTATCTGTAACAATAACCTTGTTGACAACACAAATATGGATTTAAACACACTACCCCCACACGAAGATTTAAGAAGCCCCCAGTAAATGTCAGGGGGTGTCGATGTGTTTGCCGTGATACTTGGTTATTATTAGTGTTTAACTGCAATTCCCCGCCAGCGCCGCACTGCCAGCAACACCATAAATTTTAATGTGATCATGTGCTCTTCTCTTTTCATATCCAGTGAATTCTGCAAGATCATAATATTCTATATGAACCCTGGCTGAACCTTAGTGTGATAGGAAGAAAGAACAAGATTTCGAGCAGTGATAGTTGTTCATCATTTTATAGATTTTCTTTTTTAACTGGACACTGAGCAACACGGTCTCTTGTATAATATTACCCTAAACTAAATTCATTCAATTCAATTAATCTTTACGGAGCCCCTACAGGATGCAGGGCATGGCCCAAAGTGCTAATGAGTACATTTATGGGACAGTAAAGAATACTGACTCTTAAGGAAATCTTTCTCCCCCACCCTGCCCCAGAAAATCTGTCAGAGCTCATACATCATTTATAATACTGCAAAAAGTATCTGCAACCTCGGCGTCACTACAGGCCTTTTATTTTGTAGAATAGGAACAAAAGCACGATCATTTCCTTTATCTGGTATGCATCATGAATAGAAATGTGTCCATCAGCTTTCACTGGGCTTGTGCTTGATGGAATATTTACTCTACAAACTTCTATCAATAAAGATAATTTGTATCATCTTCATTGACCTGGAGGTTGTTATTCTTCTTTTTAACCATAAATGGTAACTGGCACTACCTACGGTATTTATGAAAGAAATTAAAGGTATTTTATAAATTTTATCTATCTAAGCATCTCTTTTATTTTTTTAATTATTATCATTATTTTTTGCAGTTTTTGGCTGGGGCTGGGTTTGAACCCACCACCCCTGGCATATGGGGCCAGTGCCTTACCCCTTTGAGCCACAGGCGCCGCCCCTCTAAGCATCTCTTGTAAAGCAAATGATAACATTGAAGCTTTCATGTTACGAATTTGAAATTTCAGGTTGGAGGCGTGGAACCAATTAATAAGTCATTGACCTGGTGAACTAAAATGCCTATCGTTTTATATCAAAATGCCTGTCCTACAAAGTCATCCTATTTTTTTAAAAAAAAATCTTTGTTACCAGACATGAACCTGAATACTCTCACAAAATACAATGCTGAGTCAATAAATGTATGTCCTATGTACGAAATGGTGTTAGGGTTAAAGAAAACTGGGGCGTGTACGTATTTATAATTTGCTTGTCCTGTCGTACATTGTACCAAAATTTGCTGAGCAGTGACACACAACTACCAATCTTCCCACTCCCAGAGACAACAGACTTTGGAAAATACATAATCATAGATTTCAGGTCACACAGAGAACACTGTATTATTCACGGTAACAGCACCGTATGCAAGGAGGCAGTCATTAAACAGGTCCCTTTAGACAGGAGATGCTCTTTTCAGGAAGACTGGCTTAAAATAGACGTTGTGTGTCTATTTTAAGAAAAGCATTTGTTTTGTGGCAGGGTGCGTGCTTCGGTATCTCCTGAGCTAGAAAGAAAGAAGTACTTTCGAGAAAGGTTGGTAAACCCGTTTCCCCTCCTCTTTGCTGGCAACTGGCTGGGAAACTTTGCCTTGGAGCTCCATCTAGAGGAAAATATGGCACACATGTGCCACCCTAGCTTTGCGATGGTGAATTTCTTTTTTTCCCCAATAATAGAAAATTTTGGTTCTAATTCAACACATGAATACGAAACGTGAGATCACTTGAATGAAATTAGGATCGCCAATGAACCCCAAACAGTGAAAGACCCAGAAGTGTTCAGGAGGGCCTGAGCATTCGTGTCCATTCATGGACATAAGTAGGGTATCATTTGCCATGTGCTGAGGTCATATTTCAGAGATTGGAATTGAAGAGTAAATTTAATTCATTTTTATTCATACTTAGCAAGTAATGTTTGGTCAAGTTGAAGAAGATACTGACTCGTGTTAGAGACAAGTAAAACATAACATGTTAAACCTATTGTAACCCTTAGTCAAGTTCAACAAAAGTTTAAAGAGCAGAAAATCATATATTTCCTAGATGTGGCTACTCAGTTCAACGTGAGGGAGAAGAAGATATTTACTAACATATTCTTTCCTAGGTCACGTTTTTATTTTGCAATCCTTTCTACCCCCCACTTAGAGAACTTTAACGATGAAATATCCTCTTTTTGTGTATTCCTAGGAATGCAAAAAAAAAAAAAACCCACAAAAACCAAAACACCAAACCTTCTCCCACAGTGATACTCCTCAAGACCCCTGAGCATACTTCCAAGAGCAAACTCAACCTGGAAACATTCTGAGGGTATGAGCATCCCCACGGTAGTGACATGAAGAGTTCTACTGTCCTCAGTTTCTTGATCAAGATTGCCATATCATGGAAATACTGATGAAACCTGTGTCTATGTTTTGTTTTCCTCCTGAGTGTTTACTCTGATTCTGCTGCTCTTACCAGAGTCCTCCATCCCAACTATTTTAAGGCTCATAAAAATATGTCTCTGTGGGCTTGACATCTGTAACTCACAAGGTCATGGCCATTCCTCTCTCCTTCATCAATCAAGGTTCCTGCTTACTTATTCTAGCAATTCACCATAGATCCACAGGTTCGCCAAAACAATCAGTAATTCCTTCCTAGTAAACGTCCTCTGGGAGCCAGACACACGAACTCTGCACACTGAAAATTATTCTTCATCTATTGAGATGCGATACGGAAAAGCAAATGAAAGTGTTCTTTCTCTCCAGCAATGCTGGCACTTGAGCGATTAAGCCTTAGGCTTCAAAGCATCTTCTTTTCTCACTTTCTTATTTGACTAGCTCACTGCTCTGATGGTGGCTATGACATAAGGATGGGCCAGTCCAGTGCTTTCTGTTGGTTCCATAAATAGCTGAGGATCCCAAACCCAAATCCCTGAGTATAAAAGATGTTTTGGTCCCATCTTCTTATGCCATATGCTCATTTCCATTGTTGATCCAATGTATATTTGTTGAAAACCTCCTGGATGCAGAATAGTGTGAAGGGTGGTGGCGGGGCCCTCAATAAATGGTGGTTGATCAATAAGTGAATGCTGTTAAATGAATAAAAAAGGACCTCTTCCCCTAAGCAGCTTACTCTGTTGGAGAGATTTGTAATTTAAAATAAGCAGTAGAAAGAAATATGTTGTACTATATACAGAGTAGAGAAAGAAGTAATTATTGATGTTCTGGGAGGAAGGAGAAGACTTTGTAGAAAAACTGCCATTAGAGCAAGGCCTTGAAGGAGGAGTAAAAGTTTAATAGGCAGAGAACAAGACATAGGTTTTCATGAGGAAGAAGCAGGAGGGTCTGTCCATTTGGAGTTCCCCAACTTTGTGTTTAAATTTTAACTTGGGTGCAAGAATATGAGGTATTTGTATTGATGTGGTGAGAATCCCAAATCCGCATTCTCTCTTTGCTTTTGGTATGGTCAGTCTGTGTATACACACTCACACATCTACGCATATGCAAACGTGTGCATGTGTGACTACGAGGCAAAAGGAACCCACATGTTTATCCCAGAAAGCATTTTACTTGATGCTAGCTTAACAACGTAGTGGAAAGAAGGCCAAAACAAGCCTTATTTCTGGCCAGCCAATGAGGATTAAGTAGAGATCTTGTTTTGATTTCAATCTTGGCCACAAATATTTGCTTTCAGATTAAACTCTAAGGTTTACCTCTGGCCAGCTGCACTAGAAATCTCCATGAAGCAGACTGGCCACTGTCCTTGGGTTCTAGCCCCGGGGAGCAGAGATTTTATGCCTAGGGAGCCCCTAAATCCTAAGAGCATTCATTCCTGTCCCTTCCTACCCCATTGACCTTCCTGGATATTTTCTTAAATCTGCATTTTCTCAGGATTCCCATGTTCCTGTGGTCATGGTCACCAGACCAGAGAGTCATATCCAGTGATCTCTTTGTTCTGTCATTCAGCTCTGATTTTTTCTACAAAAAGATTCCTTTGAAAATTGAGCATGTCTTTTTAAAAGAACCACTTTACCAAGACAAAACATTGAAAAGAGGGTCATTCCATGGCCACACCTATTTCAAGGTGTCAATGACTTTATAGCTTTAAAGCTCAGAAATTGCCCGTGTATATTCCCATAAGCTGGGCAGGTGAATAAAGTAATCACATGGCGATTTTTCAGAAAGACGGAACCATCAAGGCAAATGGTTCACACAGAGGAAGGCTAACCTTCCACTATCACTGGACACACTTACAGTTAGCATGGCAAACATCAGCTGGCAGACGTTGAAGGCATGTCTCCAGTTGTGGTACAGAACCATTCGATAGTTTTTCCTCACTGTCAGAAGCCATCTACACAGTGTCTGAAATGGGAGCAGATAGTTTGTGTCAGGCAGTTGCAAGTGTCTCCAGTGGGCCACTATTCAAATGGCACCTGGCATCTGAGTAACCCTTAGTAACCTTCCACATACATCTCACTGGACTCAGCCGGTCATCTCATGAGGTATGCACGGAAGAGATTATCATCCCCATTTTGTGTTTGGGAAACCCAAAGTTCAGAGTGGCTAACACATTGCCCCAGGTGCGCTCCTTGGATCACCCAAGACAGAAGATCTTACCTCATAGTCGATTTTAAATTTCTGGACCATCCCCAGCTCCATGAACATGCGGAGAGCAGCTGTGATCATGGCATCAACGTCGAGAGAAAAGTCGTCAAAATGAATGTCATCGATGGCAAGTTCTGACACCAGAGGGATGTTGGCTGCCTACAAAAGCAAAAGACATAAGTCAAGCCAAGTTCACCAGCTTTCCCAAACCCCCATTCTGCTATCCTCTGTTGCTTATCAGAAGTGCAACATAAATCAGGCCTGACCGGCACTTACACCCTCATACCGCTAAACTCTGAGCTGTAAATGTCTTTTGTTTCTGAACTGCAAATGCCCTAAGCAAATGAAGGAGAGGAGGAGGGAAAGGAAACCTAATCTGAAGATAAAATATACACGCTGGATCTGGTCTGCAGGATTTAGAATACAGAACTGTCTAGTTTACAGAAATCGTGATGGTATTCTGATGTACATTACAGAGCACTAAATGCAAGAAACATCTGGGCAGCCAGCAGCTGTGAACTGTAATTGCTGCTATTCAGAAGGAGGTGGGAATACTCCACGTTGCCTTGTTTCTGCCGTCCTTCTATTCTGTAGCTTACACATGCTCTTTGTTAACACGCGTGGTCTGTGTATTCAGAAGGATAAAAAGGATCAGACAGCATACCTCTGGCATGAAATAGGTTGTCTTGATAAAATAGAGCTATTTGGAGGGCCAGCCTAATAGGCATGTGTTTCATTGACGGGATCAGTTTTACCACATTGTTTAGCTCCATTCTATACAAATACTACAACACAATTACTATATTGGTCACACATCAGAGAGTTTTTTAAAAACTCTCATGTTAGGTAGCTGCCAATCGATTGCCCTAACAAAACCTCAAAGGTAGAAAAACAATCTTTGGAAATCATTTTTAGGCTGATTTTATCGAGTTTACATATCCTGTGTGCCACTGTTGGAGTCCCTTTGATGTGTTAGGTTATCAGAGACCATTCTGTATTCATACCCTCTAGTCTATTCACGGGCTATAAATTACTCTAGAAGTAATTTATGCCCTGAAACTACTTTGGCTGAGCAATTAAATCCAGCTCTGGTCACTCTAAGCAGGGCAGACACTACCTAATCAATCCTTCCTTCCAACTATATGCCCTCTATAGGAGTTTATATCTCTAGGCTAAAATCCAAACACTGGTGATTCCCCATGATATGGAAGAACAAGGAACAAATAGATAAGTTACAGGAAAATTCAACTTCTAGTCTTAAGATTGTTTATTTTTATTAAGAAATTAATCATCTTTTCTTTCAGTAAATCATTTTAATATGCTAACACGCTTGTAGACTGTAACTGGGTGGAATTAAATTGGGAAGGTTTGGGACCTTTGAACATGGTGGTGGAAATTGTCCTCCATGGGCCGGGAACTTTGCTCAAAGTTCTTGGCCCTGAGGAAACACTTTACTTTAAAAATATTTTAACATCAAAGTTACAAATGTGAACAGTTTTAATACAATTAAGTCTACAAAGCTATTTTTACACACACATACACACAAATAGCAGAACTCTTCTGGTACCAAAATTTTCTCTCACCCAGAGATAACCAACTACTTTCAAATAATCTAGATAATTATTTTTGTATTTAGTAAAGATGCTTGAAATTTTATTTTTTGATTATTTTCTGCTTTAAGCTGTATCTATGAATATCCCACCATTGCAGGTGAAGATGAAGTAGTCTTATATTACATCTGCTAACTCTGCTGCCTCATGTACTAACCCTTTTCATTCTCTAATACGTATACTTTGTTGAGATACATATTAAGGCCTTATATCAGTATGACTATGTACAAGGTATTCATAACTAAGTTATACCATTTATTATGGCTACTTTTCCTTTTCTGGAAAGAAAGTAGAGCTAATAATAGTCGTTTTTCATCTGTGCTTAATTTTCTGTGTATTTGTAATTAATTCAACTCCTGGACTCTCCACCTGTTGTCTAAATCTCCTTTCCAAATGTTCAGATGCTTCGAGTATTCCATTAGCTTCATGAAGAAATCGATCCTGGAGCTTTCTGGATTTCTCCAATCTGGACTGGTTGTCTTCCATGTCTGACATATACTTGTCATCTTAGCACGCTCCTTCACCATCATTCTGGGGGTGCCTTCATCTCTCTTGTTTTTCTGTCTTTCTTTCCGGTTTTCTCCTCTCATTTTGGTGAGACATACCCTTCAAGAGCTCAAGAAAAAGTGTAGGCTCAGTAGACTTGAGAGGCCTTGCAGTCTGACACTGTGACACTGTTGGCACATCTCATGGATAGTTTGTCTAGATAAGATTTCTAGGTTGGAAATCACTCCATTAAAATTTTAAAGGCATTGCTTTTTCAGGTTTAAATGTTACTTTTGAGAAGTCAGAAGCTATTCTGGGCTGTTGTACTAACACTTTGGAAATAACTCTCCCTCCTACCCAGCTTTTGAAGGGTTTGCTTCCAGAGTTCCTGAATATCATGAAAATGTACCTAGTTGTGAGTTTATTTTCATCCATTATCCTCAGTACTTCATATGCCTTTTAATCTGGAAAATCACAACCTTTAATATGAGAAAAAAATTAAAATAAGCTCTTTGATTTATTTTCCTTTTGTTCTTTTTTCCCTTGGAATTCCCTTTATTTGACCTTTGGACTGGTTCTTCTTTTCCTACCCCTCCCCCCTTCTTTTTCTTGTGTTTTCATTTACCTTCAATTTTAAATTTTCTTTTCCTCTCCATTTCCTTTTTTCATGTCTTTTATTTTTCTTGTGTTCCA